GGCGGCGGAGCGGCCATGGCCGCGGCGGGCAGCGGCGTGGCGGCGGCGGAGGCGGGGGCGGGCCCGGCGGGGGCGGTGTTCAGCACCGCGAACAGCGGCCGAGTGAACGGGCTGAGCCACCCGCCCGGCGCCATCGCCATGAAGGACCACGACGCCATCAAGCTCTTCGTGGGGCAGATCCCGCGCAACCTGGAGGAGAGCGACCTCAAGCCGCTCTTCGAGGAGTTCGGCCGCATCTACGAGCTCACCGTGCTGAAGGACCGCTTCACCGGCATGCACAAAGGTACGGCGGGGAGCCGGGGCCGGGATGGGCGCCGTGAGGAGGGGGCGTCCCCGGGGTGGGCAGCGTGAGGGGAAGATGCCCCTGCGGTGGGCGCTGCCAGGTGGGTACGGCCCTGAGATGGGCGACAGCAGGTGGGTACAGCCCTGAGGTGGGCACTGTGTGGTGGGTGCAGCCCTGAGGTGGGCACCGTGAGCTGGAGATGCCCTGAAGTGAAGGCACCACGAGGTGACGTTACCCCCGAGGTGGAGCTGCCCCCGCGTACCACCCTAGGTATGAGATAGAGGCACCCCTGTGGGGAAGGCACCGCTGAAGTGAAGGAGCCGTGAGGTGGAGGTGTAGCCCTGCGTTGGGTTCTTTACCCCTGAGGTGGGGCACCGTGAGCTGGAGGCACCCATCTGAAGCAGAGGAACGAATGCCCGGGATGGGGACACCCACTGGGGGCTGGGAGCTGCCATGGGAGCACCCTGGGCCAGAGCCCCCCGCAGCTGGGGGCACCGCCTGGATCTGCAGCACCAGCGTGGGACCCTGGAGCTCCGGCTGCCACCTGGACAGGGCCCTGTGCTCCTCTGCAAGCTGTTGGCGTGTCCTCGGGCCGTGGGCAGCACCTGCCTCGTTGGGAATATTTTGGAAGCTGAAACTCAGCGCCGGTGGATGTCAATGCGCCGATGAGGTGGGGTGACCACCAGACTCCCTCGTTCTTGGCACCGTGGCCTCTGAAATGCCTCTGAAGCCGTGTTTGTGCCCAAGCCAGGGGCTTTGCATCGTGCTGCCCCTCAGCTCTTCATCTAGCATCAGCTTTGGCCACCATGGCCCAGGAACACGACGTGACTGCGGATGCTGCTCTAATTCGAATGCCATCCGTGCTCAGGGTGAGCCTCCGGGCACAATTGCTGCCATCGTCACTGCCCTCCGAACTTCTCCTGGGCACCGTCCCCATCATTGCCCGCAGGGAGGAAAATCAAAGGCAAGGCGAGCGGAGCGGAGGAAGCCAGCTTGATTACAGATGGTAAACACTGGAAACGCAGGCTGCTGGGAAGGACCCGGCGCTCGGGCTGAAGCGAGCCGCAGCATCAACCTCCCCTCTCCACCTCAGATTTAGCTGAGGGCTCTGTCCTTGCTCCCGCCAGCACAGATTTGCCCCAAGGGGGGTGAAGGACCCCATCCTCGTCGCCCCCCGCTTCGCTGCCGCGCTCCCTCTCCTCCGAGGCACGCTGATTGTACTTATTAAGAGTTATTAATACTTAATCAGCTGGCGGATTTAATTGTGCCAATATTAAAAATGCATCAATGTCAATTTTATTCATTAAATATTTACTTTGTTGAAGGGAAACTGTTTTGCTGCTGTTTTAATATCACTTTCCGAAGCTTTTGGATGTGACCTCGGTAAATCCGGGGAGCCCTCAGATGGGGAGCGACGTGGCAGCACGGGGCCAGGGCAGGGACCGGCCGTCCCCCAACGCGAGCTGTGGGGTCTGAGTGCTTGGCAGCGTGAGTCAGCGTGGGAAAACCTCACCCCAGGCACGCTCCTGCTCCCGAAGTGCCGCGACGTGATGCTGGAGGAGCCGGAGCGCCGTCGCCATCCGCAGCAAGGAGGAAGCTCCGGGGTGCGCGGCGTTGACGCTTGGAAATGCGCTTCCTGGAGAACGCTGGCTGCGGCTTCCCGCAGGGCTCCCTGGTGCTGTGCTTGGGGCTGCACGCTCTGGCTTTCCCCCTCCTTCCATCCTGCCTTTCTTGCATTAATATCTACCACTCCGTTTTGGGGCTGAGCTGAGGTCTAGCGGTTTCTATTGTGCACACGTGGCCCCAGGATGGGTGATGTGGTGCCGGGTGCTGGGGTGGCCAGGTGGCAGCGCACCCCAGTGCTGCAGTAGCCTCTGGGTGGTGGGATTTGGCTTGCTGCAGGTGTCTCCCATCCACTAACGCTGTCTCCCCATCTCTGCAGGCTGTGCCTTTCTCACCTACTGCGCCCGTGACTCGGCCCTGAAGGCGCAGAGCGCTCTGCATGAGCAGAAGACACTGCCAGGGGTAAGTGATGGCAGAAATCAGGGCGAGGTTTGGGCTGGGGGCACGAGATCGCCCTATTCCTGTCCACCCACGATGGCATGGGTGCTGCACCGGGCTCAAGGCAACGTGCACAGGTGCACTTTGCCTCAAGGATTCAGCTGTGATTTTGTCACTGCTGTGATGAGTTTGGGTGCTCAGTCAAGCGCCTGGGGACAACGCTAGCATGGCCACAAGACTGAGCCTGACACCAGCTCCATCAGTCCCGAGCACACACTCAAACGTGGCCTCGTTAAACACGGGCTCATCACATTTAAGCAATCCCCCTCCCCAGGGCTGGCTTGGTGGGTGACCAATGCCAGGGGTGCAGCGCAGGCCCAGTGTGAGGGACAGGAGCTGCTCCAGCGGCCGCAAACCAAGCATTGATTTTTCTCCCGCCTGCGTGCCGCTGTGCTTTCTGCGGGCTCTGACCTCCCGAGCTTTAACAAAGTGAAAATAAATATTTAATTATTCTTCTAAATCAAAATCAATAGGGCCGCCGCTTGGCTGGGGAAAGCGCGGGCCCCGTAAATATAAATACCAACCTTGGGCATGCGAAGAGGCCTTTTGTTACGGCTGGGAGGAACGTGCCCCCCCCGCAGCCTGGCCGCCATCAGTAGGCTCCAGAGTGAACAGCCCCGGGGCGGCCCTGCGGGGAGGGGGGGGGGAGCTGAGGCGGTCTGCACGGTGCCACGCGTGCTGGGCACACGCATGCCCATCATCCGCCTCTTTGCAGTGCATGCACCGCGTGTCCTCGCACACGCGTGCACACGGTGCACAGCCGCGGTGTGGTGCTGGTGCCGTGACGCTCTGCTCGCACTGTTGTCCACGGGCGTGACGCCGAGTGGGTACGCGTCTGCGGGTTTGTGCTCGCACGGCCGTGCTGGTGCTCGCACCCCCATCTTGTGCTTGCACACCCGTGCCGCTGTTTGCACACCCCCCGGCTCGCCACCCCCCGGGCCGGATCCCGCCCCTGGCGCGGTGCGGGGCGTGGCCTGGCGGCGGGGGGCGTGGCCTCCAGTGGCCCCGCCCCTCGGCCCGGCCCGGCCCGGCCCGGCTCGGCTCGGTGGGGCTGCGGCTGCCCCTCTCTCGCCCCGCCTCCCGCGCGCGCCGCTGCGCGAGCCGAGCCGAGCCGGGCCGAGCCGAGCCGAGCCGAGCCGAGCCGAACCGAACCGAGCCGGGCCGCTTAGGGTGGAGCCGGGCCGGGCCGGCCCGAAGCGAGCCGAGTCGGGCCGAGCCATGCAGCTGCCGCAGGTGCCAGCCCCGGGGCCGCGGCCGCCCGTGCTTTGGGTGCCCGCGGGCTCCAAGCTGCTCTGCATCGAGGTAGGGCCCCCGCCTTTGTCTGCCGGCACGGCCCCGCCCGGCCGGGTGCATCCCTGCGGGTGCGGGGGTGTGCGGGTGGGTGCGGAGCGCGGCTGCACCGCGGGGGGCGGGGGGGCGGCGGGTGGGGCTGGGGGGGTCCCGTCCTGCGGGGGGGCCGCGCCCCAGCCTGCGTGTGTGTGTGTGTGCAAGGGGTGTGCAAGAGGAGTGCGAGGGGGTGTGCACGCAGAGGTGCTGCACGCACGCTGTGCGCTGCTCCGGGCACGGTTTTGCCTCTGGGGCGGCTGAGTGTGAAAGCGGCAGTTGGTGGTGCTGGGTGTGCAGCCGTGTAACTGTACATGTGAGTGTGAAAGCGTGTGCCGCGCACGTTCACACCCGGTTCACACCAACGGTGTGGGTGCAGCTGTGCCCCAGGGGTGTGCAAACGTGTGCACACGTGTGCGTGGCACGTGGACACACGGCAGCGTGTGGGTGTGAGCGTGCACGGGGGGTGCTGTGCTGGGAGGGCTGTGCACGGGGGTGTGTGTGCAAGCAGCGCTGCCCAGACCCCATTTTGGAGCTGCCCGAGCAGCGGGGCGGTTGCTGCGAGGGGGAGGTGGGCTGATGCCCACGGCCTTCCAGCAACGGCCGTTGTGATGGTGAATGTGGCTGCTGGGTCGGCCGAGGGACAGCGCCTTTATCCCCCCAGAAATGGGATTCGCCCCTCCCAGCCGTGGCGGGGACCAGGTATCCTTGTGTCCCTCGGTGCCACCTCAGGGCTGAGGTCCCCCCCAGCCCGGTCCCTCCCCGGAGCATCCTTGCCTCGCGCTGACATCTCCTCCCCGTGTTTCCCTGGAGACGAGGCGGTTGCCGTGGAAACCGCCCTCCTCTTCTTCCTGAGCCTTCCTCCTCCTCCTCCTCATCGCCACCCGGGGCTGGCGCTGCCCCCACCTGGCTCTGGGGGTGCCCCACGGTGGCATTTTGGGGTGCAGCACCCGCACACCGCTTGCACGCTCCTTGCACGCGTGCCAGCCCCGCAGGCGTGTGCCCCATCACGCGTGACGGCCGTTGCCGTGACGACCCTATCAAGCACATCAGCGCGGGGGAAGCACGCTTGTTGCCATGGAAACGGCCGTAATTGTCGCACTTTTTCAGAAGAAAAAGGGGGAAAAGGAGGGGGAGAAGTGGGGAAGGGTGGCCCCGTGCTGCGTGGGGAGGCACGGCCGTGGGGAAATGCTGACCCCCTGTCCCAGGGCACACATGTCACACCCACAGGTGTGGGCACAACATCGTGCCAGGCGTGTGTCACACCCACACCCGTACAGCCCCGCTGCAGGGTGACGGGCTCCTGGGAGCCACCACGTGTCTGCGTCAGGTGGCTCTGGACATCTGACCACCCCAAAGCGCGCCCAGCCCTGCGGGGCCGAGGGCAAACCATCCCCACAGCCCACCCTGCCCCATGTACGGCGTCTGCCAGGATGTGACACCGTGCTGACCGCCCGCTGCCGGTTGTGTGTTGCAGATGAACCGCCCCATCCAGGTGAAGCCGGCGGACAGCGAGGGACGAGGAGGTAGGTACAGCCCCCCAAGGGCAGGGGGCACCTGGGGGTGATGGGATGGCGGCACCGAGGGGTGTGCTGAGCCACAGCCTGTAGGTCAGGGAGAGGGCTGAGACCTGGCATCCTCTCATCGCACCGATGAAACCCGGAGGCTGGAAATGGCCCTGGGGGGACCGCAGCAGCACCGCAAATGCACTGTGACCGTGAGTGCTGGCTGGTGGCTGGCTGTGCCCATCCCTGTGTGCAGAGCGGCCGTGCGTGCATGCAGCACCCGGTCCTGAGCACGGTCTGGGTGTGTCCTGGAAGGACCTGCAAGTAAAGTACCCACTCGGTACCTAACTGGGGACGGGTTGCAGGTCGATAGATGCTCCAGCCCCTCGCCCAGGAGCTGCAGGGCCCCTCGGCAGATGCTGGCTGATGTGTGACCAGCAGTGTGTAGCCCCAATCCCAGCGCTGATTCCCTGTGTGCTGACGGCCGCGCTGTTGTCGCCTCCCGCCGTTATTTCTGCATTTCCCCGGCAACGCTCCGACAGGGCACCTTATTTTCTTTGTCAAATGCCATTAGCGCACGGTGGGAGCGCGTGACCGCGCGAGGCAGATGCTGGTAATAATCACGAACTCCTCATTATTTACTCTCCCTTCCCTTGTTTTCTGGTTATCGATGTCCCTCGGGCATGGCCATGGACTGCGGGCTGTCCTGATGGTCTGTCACACAGACACCACTGCTGGTGTTTTGGGGCTCCTTTTGTTTCCTGGCCGCATACCCGTGGTACAGGACGGCATCGTGGTCTCCAGGAACAGCCCCAGCTCTGCCTCACCCCCAGCAGGAGAGGTTTCCCCACGCGTGCACATTGTAGGGTGCTCTGCATCCTCACCACTGGGTTTTGCGGTGCTGCTGTTCCCTCCGTGAGCCATCTGCACACCGGGGACGGGGAGGGGATGTGTGCTGTGCAGCTCCCCCCGCTGACAGCTCTGCTTTGCCTCCAGAAGACAGGAAGCTCTTTGTGGGCATGCTGGGGAAGCAGCAGAGCGAGGATGATGTCCGGCGCCTCTTCGAGCCCTTCGGACAGATTGAGGAATGCACCATCCTGCGTGGGCCCGATGGGGCAAGCAAAGGTGGGAGCAGGGAGCGGGGCCTGGCAGCGAGGCGTTGCTCAAACACCTCTCGTCACTCTCCCTGTCCCTCTGCCTGCAGGTTGTGCCTTTGTGAAGTACAGCAGCCATGCCGAGGCACAAGCCGCCATCAGCAGCCTGCACGGCAGCCAGACCATGCCGGTAAGCGCTGGCCGCGCTGTCCCCTAATCCAATCACCGGCTAATTTGATCAGTCTAATTGGATCACAATCCTGGCGTGTGCCCGGATCGCCTAGGGTTCATCCCTGCCTCACGCCAGGGGTGGGCATAAGGGGCTGTGGGAGAAAGGTGTGGTTTAATTAACGACGAAGGTTCAACACCGCAGATGAGGGGGAAAGGAAACGGCGGTCAGGGAGCGGCTGCCGGGAGGGAAAAGGGCTGTAATTAAACCCCGCATTGATTGCTGCGTGCTGCGGCCGGCCCAAGCGGCATCCCCAGGGTGCTGCGGCCGCGGGGTGTCCCTGTGCTGGGTTGCTGTGGGGTGACATGGTGGGGATGTGGTCGTGGCCCCGCTCAGCCCTGCCTTGCTGTGCCGCAGGGCGCCTCATCCAGCCTGGTGGTGAAATTTGCGGACACGGACAAGGAGAGGACCCTGCGGCGGATGCACCAGATGGCGGGGCAGCTGGGCATCTTCAACCCCATGACCATCCAGTTCGGCGCCTACGGGGCCTACACACAGGCGGTACGGGGCTGCATGGGACAGAACCTGATTTTGGGGGGAATGTGCCAGAACATGCTGATCTGCCCTCCTCACTCCTTTTTTCCTCTGTGCCTCACTCGCTTTTCCCTCTCTCCTCGGCTGCCCGCTGTTAGATCATGCAGCAGCAGGCGGCCCTGATGGCAGCGGCGCAGGGGACCTGCCTGAACCCCATGGCCGCCATTGCAGCTGCCCAGATGCAGCAGATGGCCGCCTTCAACGTCAGCGGGCTGGTGGCCGCCCCCCTCACCCCCTCTTCAGGTACGACCACCCTCCCTCCAGCCGCCCCCTTGGTGGCTGTGGGGCCGCAGCGGCACTGAGCCTCCCTCCCTCCTCTCCCAGGTACCAGCACCCCGCCTGGCATCAGCACGGCGCCCGTGCCCAGCATCGCCACACCTATTGGCGTGAATGGCTTCAGCCCGCTGCCGCCGCAGACCAACGGGCAGCCCACCTCCGAGACCATCTACACCAACGGCATCCACCCCTACCCAGGTACCGCCCCGCGGGGCTCAGGCACGTTCCCAACAAGTGCTGGGAGCCGTCCTTGGCTTTCCCTTTGCTTACTCTCCTCCTTCTCCTTTTTCTCTTCCCAGCTCAAAGCCCCACAGTGGCAGATCCCCTCCAGCAAGCCTACGCGGGCATGCAGCACTATGCAGGTCTCATACTTGGCTTTGCACTTCTTCATCTCTCCCCTCTCTGCTCTTTGCGGTTTGGGAGTGAACTGGGCACACGTTACTGTGTTTGATGCAGCAAGTGTGAGGTGTGGGAGCTGTGGGGCAGTGATGGGGGTGATTCCGATTCAGAGCATAGTACCCTAATCCCAACCATTGTGTTCTTATTGCCCTCATGCTGGTGCTCCAGCAGATTTTGGAGATGGGCTGGAGGAAAGTTAATTAGGAGCACTGGTGATTGTTTCCAAATTTTCACCAGAAAACCAAGTTCTTGACCCCTGACCTGATCATTGATAAAAATCAACTGAATGTGCTGCTTTCTTCCTCAGTAATGGCACATTCCTGATGCCACCAGCATCCCCCCTGGGGGAGCCATTGCCATATCTATCACCATGGGAGCAAACACCTCAAAAAGGGTTTTGAACCCCAATTGCCACTTTGAACCATCACACCACGCAACACCCAACCCTCTGCTTCCTGATAGAAGGTGGTTGGGAGAGACGAGGCTTTGGGAAGCAGCCACCAGGGCGGTACCCATGGGTGCTTGAACCTCTGTGCCACCAAACCCAGCATTCTGGGGATGCGTAGGAGCAGGAGACATCCCTGTGGGGACCAGTTTCCATCCTGTGTCGGGGTTTCAGTGCCGCATTCTCTGTTCCAGCAGCATATCCCACTGCCTACGCACCCATCAGCCAAGCCTTCCCCCAGCAAGCGCCCATCATCCCGCAGCAGCAGCGAGAAGGTAAGGGGGGCACCCTGCGCTCCGCGCGCTGCCGGTGGCCCCCGCCTGGCAGCTGATGTGTGCCCTGTCCTTTGTGTGTCACCCAGGTCCCGAGGGCTGTAACCTGTTTATTTATCACCTGCCCCAGGAGTTCGGGGATGCGGAGCTCACACAGATGTTCTTGCCTTTTGGCAATGTCATCTCTGCCAAAGTTTTTGTGGATCGTGCCACCAACCAGAGCAAGTGCTTTGGTAAGTCAGCGTGTAGTGAAGCCCAGAGCAGCGTGGTGGCTGTCACCGTAGGGCTGAAGGACCACACCATGTGGGGACAGAAGGACATACCCTCCTGCTGCCATACTACTCATGCTTTTGATGCAACACCTTGGTGGCCACAGATCTCATCACTCCAGTGTCCCTGCAAACCCATGTCCTTTGGTGTCCCCACTGTCACATCACTGTCCCCACAGACCTGCTCACCTCGACGTCCCCACAGACCTTGTGTCTCTGGGAACCCAGTCACCTCAGTTTCCCTGCAGACCCCATGTAGGCCTTGTCACCCACCAATTGCATCACCCCGGTGTTCCTCTAGATCCTCTCACCCCACAGTCCCCGACCCCATCACCTCAGTGTCTCCACAAACTTTGTGTTCCTGAAGGTGCCGTCACCCAGTGCCATGCAATGTAGGGCAGTGCCCCACAGCCCCACGTTCCAGAGGCCATTTTTTGGCTAAGTGAGGTACATGGGGACCATGGTGAAGTTATGTCATGACCCTGTTGAAGTCAAGCAGCTTGGTGTGGCATTGACAGTGACAAACCGTCTCCCCGTGTCACCCTGCCCCTCACCCCCAGGTTTCGTCAGTTTTGACAATCCGACCAGCGCTCAGGCAGCCATTCAGGCCATGAACGGCTTCCAGATCGGCATGAAGAGGCTAAAAGTCCAGCTAAAGCGGCCGAAAGATGCCAACAGACCCTACTGACCCCTGGCACCCTGGCCCTGCAGAGAGGTACGAAGGCACCTGGCAGTGTCACAGGCCTGTTTATCTTGGCATAAAGAGTGGCTATTTTGGTTAAAGCCACGCTGATGTGGGTTTCGTGGGTCAGCCGTTGCCTGGATCGCTCACGGCACGTTTGCTGTCTTGCAGGTCGGGCGTCCCGCGGTGTCTGCCGACTTCTCCCTTCCCCAAGTGCAGTATCCAAACCCGTAACTCTCTTTCTTTGCAACATATCCCGGAGGAGGAGGAAGGAGAAGAGGAAGAGTTGATGGAGGAAAAAAAAAAAAAAAAAAAAAAAAAAAGCGAAGAAGAGAGCCATTCTGGTCGTAGCTTTTCTATTTCTTTTTTGATTATTTTTTTCCAACCGGTCTTGTTTGTTTCTTAACGGGAACGAGAGAGCGAGGAAGGCAGGAAGGAGGAGAGCGACGCGGCGTTGGGGCTGAGATTTGCTGCCGGGAGAGGACTGAGGCCCGGGCAGCTGGGATGTGAGCTACCTTTTATAAGCACTCATTTGCTGCTACAAATTTCCCAAGAGGAATGAAGAAAAGAGGCTCCGGATGGATTATAAACCAAAGCCAGCGGGACGAGACCGGCCTCGGGCGATTCACCTGGAGGATGCTTGTTTGGAAAGGGAAATCTTGGTGTTTTTTTTTCCACGTCTGGCTGGGAAAAAGAGGGAAGAAAAAGGATAAGAGGATGTTGGACTTATAGAAGATATATATAAATAAGTATATATATATATATATCCCATGGAGCAGGGTAGCGGGACACGCGCTTCCCCCTGCTTGTCACTGGCACAGGGACATAGGATTACTTGTTTCAGAGTCATATCATTCCTTAGAGTTTAGGGACCAAAGGACTATTGCTTTTTTAAATATATATATAAATAAATTAATTTAAAACACACACACACACACACACACACAAAAACTTAAAAAACAGGAAGAAAAAAAAAATTGTATGAAACACCTCGGGCGCATGAGCTGCGAGCGGCGCCGGGAGGAGCACGGCTCAAGGGCTCGGTGTGGGGGGCATTTGTGGCCAAGCGCCAGGGGGGACACAGAGGGGATTTTGGGGGGTGAACGTGGCCAAAAGAGCCCTTGGTCGCCTGCGGGAGACGGCGAAGCGATTTGCTTCTTTGGCTCTTTTGTGAATTCTTTTTTTTTTTGTTTGTTTTCTTTTGTTTTTCAGCCAAAAACGATTAAATAAAAAATGTGAGGTTTCGGCAGAAACAAAGCGAAGTGAAATAAAATTATTTTGTCAAAATGGTCACCTTGGTTTGTTCTTTGGAGCAATGGCTGCCGCGAGCCGGGCCGACACCAGCCGTGCGTTTGGAGGAGGAGATGCTGCGGACCCACCCGGACCCAACCTGTGTATATAGCTGCTCCTTTGGGGATTTTTTTTGTGCTTTTCCCAGGAATTGCCATTTCCCAAAGGAATGTGTCCCCGAGCCCGAGCAGCAGGAGCAGGCAAGGCATGGGCTGTCGGGCTGATTTAGTTTGGGTTAATCTCAGTGTGAAGCTGCCTCTGTTCCACGCTGCCGAGCCCCCCATCTCGCGGCTTTCTTTGGGGTTTCCACACAGTGGGAATTGGCTGTGCGGGCTGACGTCTGTACCTCTGTCATTGTTGGTGTCTGTGTCGGCTGAAATAAAGCACAGTCCGGTGCAGTTCTTGCTTGGTGTGTCTCTGCTCCTGTCCCCATGGCGTCCCTCCGGTGTCCCCAGAGCACAATAGATAGCAGATGCTCTCTGTGATGCAATCCTTGGTCCGCAGCACGTGGTGCAACCACAGTGATCCCTTTGGAGCGGCTGCATCGCATCTCTCAACAGCTCATCCCTTCCCGTATGCCCACCACTCCCCGCAGCTCCATCCCATCCTCACATCCCCATCCCTCTGCCTTTACATCCTCTCCTCATGTCCCCTTCCCTGCACCCCCTCCCCGCAGCACTCAGCCCAGCAATGCGCTCCAAGAATTTCACACCACCACAACAGCTCACTTTCCTCTTTTTTTTTTTCTTTTTTTTGTTTGTTTGTTTGTTTGTATGTATTCCGTTGGTTTTTTTTGCTTCGGTTTCTCATCGATAAAAACGCCATCGCCACAAATGCGAGGAGGGACAGCCACCAGCAAGGAGTCAGGGATGGGATATAGAGGACAAGGGACCTGGCAGCCCGCTCCCCACTGCTCACCTATGTGCAGGGAGGAGCCGTGGCCCCACTGCCACCCGCCGGTGTCCCCACACATCAGCGCCCACTGCCAACCCCACGTGCCCATCCCTGTCCGGGGCCGTCGCTCAGCACCCGCAGCAGGGTCCCCGCTGTTCAGTTTGTGTACACCTGAGTCCCGATCACACGCATGATCTCCTTCTGGATTTTGGGGTCCTGAGTATTGATATTGGCGTCTCCCACTTGGCCGTCTTCGTACCTGGAAGGAAAAGTGTTAGCTGTGGCTACAGGGCGGGCATGAGCGCAGAGATGGTGCTGGCACTCACACAAAGAAGAAGCGGGTGCAGACGTGGTCCGACACGGGGCAGACCCAGATGTTGCCGTGCTTCTGCAGGTCCTTGGAGGTGATGACTGCGGAGGGAAGGGGCGCCATGTGGGGGCTGTCCCCGATGGGGATGTCACGCCAGCACACCCACCCCCATCAGCCCACCGCCCCATACGGCCCCGCACCTTCGCAAAGCGCGATGCAGTTCAGGTTACGGCTCTGGAGGAAGCGGGACTGGATGGAGCGGGTCTGCAGGGAGAGCAACTGGCGTCACCCCTGCCCGCTCCCAGCCCCAGCCCCGTGTCCCCGCCGCATCACCTGGGGGATGGTGTTCATCCGGTTGTACCTCTGCACCAGCTCATCCTTTGAAGGCATCCGGTGCTGCCCTTTCCCCATCCCTGCAGACAATGGCACAGCAGTCATTCCTGGCCCATGGGCACCTGGGTTGGGGACACGGCCACCACCGGGCAGCAGCACCCCAGGGTGACGCAGGGATGGTGGTGAGGACATGTGTTACAAGACACCCCAGTTATGGCCACACCAGGAGCTCCAGGTGTGCAGGCAAACCCAAACCCCTACAGTGGGAGCAGCGCCTTTTGGAGTCGGCACAAGGAAGAAGCAGCTGTCGCATCACCTTAAGGTCATTTTTTCAGGAAATGCCCATTCATTGTTTTTTTCCCTTAATAACCGAGCTGGTGTGTCAGAATGCCCCGATTTGCTGGGGAGAGGATGGTGTGGGAGAAGGATGCAGGATGTGGATGGGAGCATGTGGCCTCAGCATCCCAATACCATGCAGCTCCTCTGTGCCATCCCGATACCATGCAGGGAGCGGGACGGGAGCACAGGTGGGACCAGCGGAGCGGGCAGCCTCTTACCTGAGTATCCAAAGGAAATACTGGAGATGGGGCTCAGATAGATGCCCTTGCCATAGGCTGCTCCATGCAGCTTGCAGGAAAACACCGGGGTGAGCAACGCGGCACCCGCGGCAGCCTGGGCATGAGGCACGGCCACAGCATCCCTGGGGCTGCCCACATCCCTCCCCACCTGCCCAGATCCAGAACCGGCATCGGCGAGCGGTACCTGCAGCTTGGTGTAGGACGCGTTGACCAGCCCGTTGCGCAGAATGGAGTGCCAGTTCTCAATGTGAGAGCCACTGCAAGAGCCGGCGTCAGCCCCACGGCACCGGGCCCTGCAGCGCCCCACAGGATCCCGCCAACCCCCACTGCCCCACGGTTGCTCACTGGAAAGCGAAAGTGCTGCCGTAGAGCTTCTTGGCGGTGCGGAACCGGGCCTCCTTGGCCGGGGGGCTGCTCAGCAGGAGGAACTGGTGCGAGGTGTGCATGAACTTCAGCTGCTACCAGTGGAAAGGGCAGAGCAAAGGCAGCGCCGACGAGGAGAGAGGAGAGACAGACAGACAGACACAGATCATGCACGGCAGCCCCCAGCCCTGCACCCACCTCAGCACTTTTCAGATGCTTGGCCATGGCAGGAGGGCCAGGATTTCTAGGAGCTCACCCATTGCTTCCTGCAGCATCCTATTTCGTGTCCCAGAACTGCATCCCATAGTGCACACCCCACGTCCTCCACCCTATACCCCACAACCTGCATCCCATGCCCTTATACCTCCATGCCATACCTGTACATCCCTCCTCCAGCTTCCCATATTCCACATCCTCCATCCTCCATCTCACACTGTCAGTGCACAACCTGTAGCTACACCCATACTGCGCATCCCACCTCCCGTATCTTACACCCCACACCTTACATTGCACAGCTCGCATCCACACAGCTCTGGCCATGCCACTTACCCTGCTAAGAGGCAGCTTGACAATGTGGGATCTGTTGCTGGAGATGATCCTGTGCGAGCAGGAGAGAAGGAAGATGAGATAGAGTGGTCCCACCTCAGTCTCACTAGTCCCTAGATGCTTTTGACTCCATACCATCCCATCATATCCCATCCCATCCCATCCCATTGCATCCCATTCGACTGCATCTCATCCCACTGCATTACAATGCAACCCATCACATCCCACCCTAACACTACTGTGTTTGTTTTTGGACACCTCACTGCCAGAAAGACATTAAGGCCCTGCAGCATGTTCAGAGAAGGGCAACGGAGCTGTGAAGAGTCTGGAATGCAAGTGCTATGGAGAGCAGCTGAGGGAGCTGGGACGGATCAGCCTGGAGAAGAGGAGGCTCAGGGCAGAGCTTATTGTTTTCTACAACTCCCTGACAGGAGGTTGTGGCAAAGTGGGGGTTGGCCTCTGCTCCCAGGTAACAGCAATAGAATGAGAGGAAATGGCCTCAAGCTGTGCCAGAAGAGGTTCAGATTGGATATTAGGAAAAATTTCTTCTCAGAAAGAGTGGTCAGGCACTGTAACAGGAAGCTCAGGGAGGTGGTGGAGTCAATAACTCTGGAGGTGTTCAATAACTCTGGAGATATGGCACTGAGGGACATGGTCAGTGGGCACGGTGGGGTGGGTTGATGGTTGGACTAGATGATCTTAGTGAACTCTTCCAACCTTAATGATTCTTTGATTCTATTGTATCCCATCCCATCCCTTTAGCACCCTTGGTCTTACCACTGCAGAAGGGGATGTGCCAGCGGGTCCAGCTTGTCCATCTGCTTCTTGATCTCCAGATAGGAGCCCTGGCAGAGGCACAAGCACCACGAAAAACCATGTCACCAACCCACTAAGGATACAGGCACCAAAATCCCATGCAGACATCCAAAATGGTGCCAGGATGCAGAGCTAGGGCTTGCCACATACCTGGGTCATCTCCCGGATGGACATCACGCTGTCCAGCGCCTTC